AGCATCCCGGAACACGACAATATGTACTCGACCTTCTCCTTCTCTATTCCCCCCCTCCCTAGGTTTTGACTGATAATGGCTGTTCGTTTCTTCGCACATTCCACCAAGTGCCGCCAAGCATCTGAAAGTCAGAGAATAAGCTGATAGAATTTCATGGTAATGATAGCATCAGTTTAGAAATGCTCCCTGTGACGGATTAGCGGCCCTGGGTTAGTTGGTACCACTGTTAGGTTAGCATCTTTGATGCCGCTATGCCGTTCAGTCATTCTAAAGGGGCGTTCTATGTGCTCTGCACTGTTTCTACGTTCCTAAATGGAAGTAGAATGTTTGGAACAAGTGAGAATACTAGACAAGAAACCAAACTATTGCAGGTTAAACTACGGACGGAATTGACGGTTCCTTCTCGTTTAGTAGGCAGAATAATTGGTAAAGGTGGTCAAAACGTGCGAGAGTTGCAACGTATCACAGGAGCCTCGGTATACAAATTTTTGATGTATTTATACGTTTGTTATTTTTGTTTGTTCAACGCTAGGAATACTACAGGTCAAAATTCCTGAGGATGAACCCAAAGTAGCTGATCCTACCGCTCAAGAAGAAGCCAAAGAAGGTAGGATGAAAGTTTTGCTTTAGTAATTATTTTTCACTTCAATTATGTTTTAGTGTTTCTGCTATTTCCTCTATATATTCAGGTTCATCATCCCCCTCGCCAAATGACAGTGGTACGGTAGTACGAATCGTAGGAAATTTCCTGGCCACTCAAAGCGTACAGGTCCGCATAGGACAACTGATAGCCGACTTCCAACGTGCGACCAACCTACATGGTGATAGGCGCAAGGAAGAGCCCCAAGGTTAGCTGTACAACAAAGTTGTTAATTTCAGTAAGACTATCACTGTAAGGTATATCTGACCTTATGGTTCGCTTGGACAACTGAATCATTAGTTTCAGTGCTTATATCTCATAGTAAGGCCTACTGCTGTGCAGCGTAAAATCAGTAAAAACCTCTATATATTCATTGTTGACGGGTTGTTTTGTTTGAAGGATTACTGTTCGGTGGTTGGAGGAGTCAACTGAGGTGAGGGGCTCAAATGCTCGCGAAGCTCACCCCTGGCTCATTCTCTTGGTGACACTGAATTGTTGCTATGTTGATATCGCTCTCTCGTTTCCTTGTGTCCGAAGAAGGAGGAAATGTTTCCTCACAATCTCATTTGCTTCTTTTTCTTTACTGACGCGCGACTTAGCACCTGTAGTTTCATACTGGAACGCCGCTGGAGACACATTTCTATCAAGAGTATGCCTTCAAACATTGCGGACCGCCGTTCTCAAGGGTCTTTGCATCATTTCGTCACTTTTCAGATCTATAATCAAAACCTTCATCTGGTTTTTTTCACTTCCATGCGAAATGTTAGTATCTCCAAAAACGTGTTCCGTTAGCTTTAAAACTTGAAACAGCCAAATAGACTATATAGAGAGAAAGAGCGCATAGAGAAAAATATGTGATGTGGCTACTGGCGTTCAGTTAAGAACCTGTTGTTGCCAATTCATTTTCCATGGAAGAAAAATAAAAAAAATCATCGAGGGCGTTCTAATAAAGACCCTCTGACAGCCCACTGAACGAGTTCCCACATATACAGGGGGGGCAAAAAAAAAGTCATTTCGGCCGAGCCACATATCAACGAAGTTTTCGCAGCCCAGACAGGGGAAGTGGATATGAGTACCAGAGTGGAAGATACCCAAGATCTTCCTCTATAAGCTGGAGCACGCGCGCCAGTCCGCCTTCATGTACGCCAAAATATGAAGTCATCTCCAGTCGCGGCCTGACTGGAGAACACCTTTGGAATTCACGTCGCCTCCAAACAGCTGCGAAACTTCTTGAATGAAGTCATCCACAGATAGCTACCTGGAGGTCAGTACTCTTGATCTGCAAGACCTCCCACATCGAGCAGCTACGGCAACGTCGCTACGGTCTAGGACATCATCTTCACCGTATTCGCCGAGGCGCGAGTTGATGGTATGGACCGGGGTACCTGGAAAGGGGAAGACCGATATTTTCTTTGTAGACCCCGACTGAAGGTGAGCGCTGGCGGTTACATCAAGTAACTCGAGAAGAATATCCTCCCTACATGTGGTCGCCCGTACCTTCTTGGAGACCTTGTGCTGCTACAGGTTTGGGTGCCACCACATGGAATCAAAGGGTTTTGGAAAAACTCCCGCCTACTTGGAATGGAAGGGGGCTGAATACCTAAAGAAGGTAGGAATATCCAAGTAGGTCACCTGACCTGTATCCCCTCAATTACCCGGTTCGGGCGGAGTTCAATAGGGTGGTCTACGGTGGCGGAGAAATCAACGATCTCGCTCAACTCCGGTACCCACTCACTTCGCGCGGCCGAATCTCTCGATGGCGCTCCTCCAGAAGGCTGCGGCGGAGTATCGTTATAGTATTTAATGTGCTCTTTAATATGGTAGTAAAAATGTCCGATAAAAGTTTAATAAAGTGTGTAGCGCCTTGAAAGTTATGGAGGAAAAATGACTTTTTTTTTAGCCCGCCCTGTAACTTCTCTATGCGAACAAGCGATATCCGGCGATACCTTTGGCACACTGCCCATTTCTTCGCATCATCGAGTGCTAATACAATCAACAATAAAAAAGAACGGAAAAATGTGTGAAAGGCGTAAAAGCTGAACTCGTGTGAGAATGTCCTTTGATTTTCGGTGGGCGATACAGCGGTGGGGTCAGAATATCGACAATTGTTAAACTCCACATGAAAACTTTGTTTGCTCAAATCAATTATCCTCCTCAGAATGCTATTCCAAAAAATAAAGTTTGTTGATCTGATTCGTTACAGGGACAGAATTTTTCGAAGATTATTGCTATGCGGCATTCGCTGCCACTCTGATGTTGGACCGGTTTTCAAAGTTTCTAATGCTTTGCAAGCCATCGGAAGAAGATCACACCTGTCTGAGTGTTCGCTTCCTTTTCCATCTCTTTTTTTACAACTCTCGAGAAACCTAGGTTGTTCCAAAGGCATTAGAAACTTTGAAAACTGGTCTAATATCAGAGTGGCAGCGGCAGGCTGCATCGCAGTAATCTTCAAATTTTGTCCCTGTAACGAATCAATCAACCAACTTCTTTTTTTGAATAGCATTTCGCACAAATCGCTTTATGGCATTTCCTAGTAGTGGACAACATCGAATGCAAAGACATACGAAAAAACACGAACGAAAAACACTTTTCGGGGTTACGTGAAGTGTGCAGCTTTTACTGCATGTCGAGCTTTTGCACCACAAAAATTGCATCACTCGTGATTTTTACGCGTTTTACCTTGCGAGATGGGTTGCAGTTGACTGTATGTGCTCCAATGAATAAAATGTAATAAAGGAGAACGTAATTATTGTAGGGCACGAGCGCAGTCAGCAAAAAGTACACGCAGTTTCGATTAACGCTCGCCGTCCCAAAAAAGAACAACTAACAAGGGAAGGATACCAACTCGTCATGGCCATTCAGAATGAGATGTATACTCCTAGGAGCGTCTTCGGACGCTGATATCAGATCTGACTTCCAAATCTGCTAAACGATTCTGGGTGAGAAGTTACGGACCTTTTTTGCTACCGTGCTTAACCATTGCGGTGGGCCCCCCTGCCCATGCTTTGCGCTTGTGAACCCCTCGTGACACAACCGTCGCCGTGGCTCGATGGCGCAGCAGGTAAGTGGATGGACTCATAGTTGTGGGACGGAGGTTCGGATCCTTGATGCATTTCGTAGTTTTGCTTTTTCTTGAAAAGTATGCTAAACACTTGGGAAGCAGTTTAGCGTACCTCTCCGACCACCAAGACCCCTCCCTGCTCTTTATTGAGCTCCGCAAACGATTTTCGAAAAAATGGAAAATTACACTTTTACCTAACGGGATCAATACACATGCATATCTGCCTGAACTCTGCGACCTGGCGCTACCATACTGAGAAGTGTTCGACCCGGGGTCGACATCATTGGTTGGGGATTTTAGCTGGTCTGTGCGACCCCCCCCTTTTTGGGCTGTAATGCGGGGGGGGGGTATATATTACGCACGAAACTGGAAAATCACAAAAAGTCAACCACCGCTCCTACAAGCTAAAACTTAAATACGACTTCCCCCTCCCAACATGCAAGTAGCCCCCCCCCTCCCTTCACAAACGTCCATGAAGCGAGAAAAATCAACTATCAAAATAAATTTTTCCCAGCCCAAATACGACCCCCCTCTCCTGGCGGCCAAATACGACCCACCCCTATTGGGGATTGCCCAACAACGATGTGCCCTGGTTCGACCCGACTCTGGTGCTATCAGACCTAGTGAAAGAGTTTGGATCTTGCGATATTGTTCGATCATCCCGCAAAGAGAGAAGATTGCAGATAGCTTCTCTGCTATTTTGCGCGACGCACTGCACGACAATCTTATAATCGACTGCGAGGAAGATAGCTTCGTAGAGGACGACCATACGGATCCCCTCTGGTCACCTGATGATGGCGATGAAGAAAGTTCCCTCAGAGCTAGAAGAACAGCTTCAGTGTTTTTTGGGGATGTGGAGGTTCCGATCCGATAGAGAAAGTAGTTTGATAGTCTTACTTATGAACTTCACTTTGTACAACTCCATAGCATAGTATGTGTGTGGTTTAGGTGAGTGAAGCCATAGCCTTCTACCGTTCTAGTGCAAAGAAAAGCCGCTCATTTCCATGCATGAAGAGCAGGTTCCGCTTCATTGCTACCGAATACCACTTGCGGAAGTTGAGTTGAGATACTATCAAAATGAATGCTCTCACTGAAATGAAACCCCTCTCAAAAATCACACATAGGGCCTAATAAGAAGCAGGGAGGGGTCTTGGTGGTCGGACAGGTACGCAAAACTACTTCCCAAGTGTTTAGCATGCGTTTCAAGAAAAAGCAAAACTACGAAATGCATCAAGGATCCGAACCTCCGTCCCACAACTATGAGTCCATCCACTTACCTGCTGCGCCATCGAGCCACGGCTGTGTCACGAGGGGTTCACAAGCGCAAAGCATGGGCAGGGGGCCCACCGCAATGGTTAAGCACAGTAGCAAAAAAGGTCCGTAACTTCTCACCCAGAATCGTTTAGCAGATTTGGAAGCCAGATCTGATACCAGAGTCCGAAGACGCTTCTAGGGGTACCTTGTAAGCGGCTCTCCGTCAGAGGGCATCTATCAAGCGGGCGGTCCAACTGGGCGGGCGTTAGAACTAGAACTTTCAGCGGCTGTAGCTCGCTCCTCGCTCACTGTGGAGTCGCGAGAGTGGGACTGATCTAGCTTGGGGGCTGAACTACCTGCCAAGGAAGGACGACCATGAACTACTTGAGCTCGGGGGCTGTCTTTAAAGAAGAATTGAGGGGGAGCGTGCGTGAAGTGAAAGACGGGGAATGTAGTTGCATTAAGCTATTCTGATATACCGTCTAGATTCGTTGACTATAATGAAATGTTAGTTCAGACTCATCTCGCAAGCAGTCACCTCCGTCACATGTGAACGGTGCCGAATGATCGACAGATCCATTGCTAAGTCGACACAGTTTGTCTCTTTCTGGGTGAAGAGCGTACTCGTCTCTCTCTACGCGGTATTACACACGGCTCGAAAGCATTTCACCCCACGCTCATGTTTCTCGTTTAAAAAATTTTTTCTCATTTATGCATTATTTTACGTGGGGCGGTGCTTTCACCGCATGTAAGTAAGATGTTTAATATGGCGATACGTCAGAGTCGGTGTATCTGTGATAGTGGTCATTATATTCTATGGTACTCTGACGTATCGTTTACCCATTAGCGTGATCTGCAACGCCTCGTCCGTCGTTTTGTTCGTTTAGGTCTCTTTTTG